AAGTGCTTCGCAAGCTTCCGGTAGATAAGGCGTTGGGTGAAGAACTCCCCGCCTTGGTAGTACGAGTCACCCCTCTCAGCAAGCCACATCTTTCCGGGGCCTCCGACCCACTCGTCCACTGAAGCCCCCACCACCGAAGCAAGCCACTCCCTCCGGTCTTCGGCCTTCCACCCCTCGGCCGTGAAGCTGGTCACCGCATCCTCTCGGGCCTTGGAGACGACCTCTTCTTGAGCCGCGCGGGCTTCATCGGCAGCAATGCGGGCGGCCTCGGCGGCGGCCTCCCCAGCCCTGGCTAGTCCCTCATTAACCCCTTCGGCCCTTGTAGCCTGCACCCTCTGCTCCATGCCGTCAGTGGCCAGACGGAGAGAGTCCTCGGCTTCAGCAAGCTTCTTCCTGAGGAGGGCGGCCTCCCCCTCGGCGGCACCCTTGGCCTCCCTCATTTGATCCACCCTTCAGAAGGTGCTCGCAGAGGCCCATAAAACTCTGCAATTCACGAAGGCAAGAATAAGGCATAATGAACATAGTACAGAAGGAAAACATAACAATGAACAAAGAAGGGAGGGTGACTTACGGAGGAAGCATTCAGGAGGACCTTCGCCTCGAGGGCTCCCTCGTCCAGCCGGGCAAGGGCCAGTCGGTCGGCCGACGGCAGCATCTGGCTCATAAGAGCCGAAGGGTTCAGACTGCCCTCCAACACGGAGGCCCCCTTCGGTACTAACGCCTCCAACCTCTCCCGTCCAAAGAACTCCTGATTGATTTGTTCCTGGGAGGTGGAGGCAGAAGCGTGCCCTTCGTCAATGATCACCACCACATCGGTGATCGGCTGTTTGGTAGGGGCGGTGGTCTTCGGCTTCTTGGCCGGGGGCTCGGTCCCCTTTCCAGCGATCTTCTTTTTTACGGGCCCGGCACCTTTGGACCCTCCGGCGCCAGCAGCGGCGCCAACAGTTTGAGAGGGCCCCTCCCTGGCAGAAGCGCCCGCCGGGGCCTTCTTCTTCCCTTTCGCATTTTTCAGAGCGAAGAGGGAACCGACGTCCATATTGTTACCTACAAGCGACAAAAAAAAACATGAGGGTTAGATCGAAGGCTACCAGTTACTACGTCATAAAAAAATGAGGAATAAGAGAGAACTATCAACGCATCAGTGAACAATTCGGTGATCACCTCCAGCGCCTTCGAAGACCCTATCGAGGGGAGGGTACCTCTCATCCGGAGAGCCCCTCGGCCTGAACTGCCGGAAGCCCAGGCTAAGAAAATCCTTCAGGAGGGTGACTTCTCTGATCTTGACGTGCTTGTCAGACCCCTCCGGCTTCTTGGCAAGCACTTTGCCGTTCTTCTCCAAAGCTGCGCTCCCCACCTTCGGATGGCGCCGGAAGCTATTACGGAGCTGGGCCGGGAAGGGGTTCTCCTCGAGGCGGATGTAGCAGAACCTCTCTTTCCACCCCTTGTGAGACGAGGGCACATCATCAAAAAGCCGGAACTCCGGTACCTGCTGAAGCTTGGCAAAGCCCTCAGCATTTGAATGTCCCCCCCGGCAAAGGTTGAAGGACATGAAGAATTGATCAAGTGTGGGCTCGACCCCCCGGCTCTGACACAAGGAGAGGAAGCCGGCCACATAGGAGTGGCTGTTGGGCGTTAGCTGGCAAGGGGCCAACCCCACAAATCTCAGATACTCCAAGAGAAAAGGATGGAGCGGGAACCGAAGCCCCATCTCCACCGAGAGGGTGTGAGCAGCAAAGCACCCCTCGGGCGCATATCGCAGCAAATCATCCGACCTGGGCTCCACCACGCGCGCCGAAGGTCCAACCAGCATCTGGGTGGACTGGTATTCTGCCGGGGACGCCTTCGTCTTCAGCTCTAGAGCGGCAGTATTCAGGAACGAATGGCCCTCGGGTATGCCCACCGGTCGCCCAGCATCAACTGCCGCTTGCTTCTTCCTTGGGGCCGCCTTCATCTTGTTTTTCTTCCCGGGAGCCACACTTATGGGCGTCGGATCCAATGGCCGGGAGGAGCTGGCTTCCCCGGCACCCCAGGGGGAGGAATGGCAACCGTCACCTTCAGCCTCTCCCTCTCCTCTTCCTGCTCGGCGGTTTGCACGGCGAGGGCAAGCTCTTCATCCTCGTTTTCTTGCTCGAAGCCCTCGGCTTCGACTTCGGCCTGGAGGTCCTTCTCCACTTCCATGGCCACTGCGGCATCACCACCTGCCGAGGACTCCACGCTCGAAGACTCCACATCTGAGCATGTCTCCATCTCTACCGAAGGCTCCCCCGAGATATCCTGGGAGTCGCTCTGTGATGACATCTGCTCACTAATTCGAAGGCTCGGGAAAACTAAGGTTTCCTAGGAAATTCTATCTCCTAACCTAGGGGCACAAGGCATAGCTAAACTAGAAGGAGAAAGGCGGGGGGGGGGGGGGGGAACTGACCTTGAAAGCTGAGTTGTTACCGAAGGCTGGAGTTTCTCTCTCTAGAATTTTTGCCAGAGCTTCGCTACACTGAGTTCGCACAGCGGGGAATGGCCCTGGCCTTGGGGTATTTATAGGCGATGGAATCCGGGCTTGGGCCTGGATTCCGGGCCTCCGGATGGACCGCCATCATTACACACCGCGTCCTCGCCCAACCAGTGATGCCGCCCACGGACAGCCAGCCATCACGCGCCACGTGCCCCCCCAACGACTATATTTCCAACGGCTATATTCTGGAAGCCCCCGGGTTTTCTACTGCACTCCGCTACATCAAGGAGAGCCTCCAGGTACACTTACCCAGAGACGCCCCCGGGTTGTGCCCCACACAGCCCATAGCAGATGCCTTCGGGATCACCCCATCAGAAACCCAAGGCTTCATATCAGGGCACCCCTCGGGGATTCCCCCTCAGCACTACAAACCGGGTAGCCCCCGGGGAGTTGCCTCATTGACGGGTGACCCATGGCACACAGGTAATGGGAGCCCTCGGGTATCTTCATCACCAACTAATCATCAAACAGTGGACCCCCCGGTAACAACTCCACTGTTGCCCTCATCTGGCAGGCCCTCGATCCCCGGATTGAGGGGCTCCCCTTCGGCGCCCCCAGGACATCAACAGCAAGCCTTCGGCTAATCAACACATGAGCCCTCAGAACAAGGAAGAGCCTTCGGCATTACCGTTGTTCTCCATTTTTAACCAAGGTTTCACATTTTCGATTCATCATTGGGGGAATTCGGTGCACTCTTTTTCCCTCATTAGGATTTTTTCCCCCAGGGTTTTTCCTAATGAGGTTTTTAACGAGGCATCCCCCCAAAATGAAACGAAAAGCGCCAGCCTTCGGCCCACAACAGCAACGTAACTACTCTACTCCTTTTCACCACTTTACAAGTGCCTCAAGGAGTGGGGGGACTGGAGGACCCCCTCGGGAAAATCATTAAATTACAAAATCAGTGAAATTCCAACAAACGACAAAGCAAGCCCTCAAGTCCCGACATGTGGGTAACTGAGGGACTGCCTTCGGCAGGGACATAAAAGCAACAACTCCTCACCAACTTCAGAGATCATGACGGGACAACATCAAAGGGCAAGCACAAATTACTCCTTTTCCCTCAAGTACCTCTCGGCAAAAGGAGTGAGGGACTCCTGATGGAGTATATGGCCCGGGAACCCCCGGCCCACAGACTCCTACTACTCCAGCGAAGGCCCAACAGGCCCAGAAGGCCCAACAGGCCCAAATCACAGCCCCCAGAGTACCAAGCAGCCCGCACTACGCGCCAGGGGTGCCTTCGCCCCCCTGGCCGAAGGCTCTAAACTCTCACAGAACGGGTTTCTCAAGCAAACTAAGAAACTGGGAGAAAACGGCGAAAACAGTAGCCCTCGGCACTGTGAGCCCTCGGCACCAGGGTGCCATCGGTTGGAGGAACCCTCAGCTACTGCTCTATAGCCGAAGGCATCTCACTCGACAAGATATCCGCCTCACATGCGTACAGATCACCGTACCCTGTACAGACGTCCCATCCAACAGCCGCATTAAATGCGGCCACATGCGGCTGCCAGCGCCAACCAGTTGAGGTGACCCCTCGGCCAATGAGCGCTTGACACGTGTCCCTGTCCGGCATTTATTGCTACTATAAATAGCACCCCATTTCCCCATTTGTAACCACGCTGAAAACACGACATTGATACTAAATACACTCTCTCTCTCTACATCTACTTACTCGCTCTGACTTCTCTCTAAGTGATTCCCCGCAATAACCCTTCGGATACATACCCCCGAGTAGACTATCCATCAGTCCCGTTATATTTGGCACACATTATTTCCGTTTCAAAACAAAACGAATTCAGGACAAGTAAATTAGTAGATCAATGAGTCTATCAGCAACTCATTATGTAATCCAAATAAAAATAATTATCCTTTTTCACAACCCAAATACCAATGCTTATTAAAATACTACTCCGTAGTTGTTTAACAAATGAACACCTACAAAACTCTAAACTACCAAGTATCACATACTATGAACTATCATCTATCTAGAAAAAGAAATTGATTTTTACTCCCAAAGGCTTCACTTCGTATAGTATTCTTTTATAAGTTTTTTATACAGATGTCTTGATCTTTTTTGTTCGGAGCTTTTTTTGGCTTAAACTTTTGTTTCTTTTATAGTTGCAATTTTCTCACAATTTTTTAGATTAGCTGCAATGTTTGTAGCATAGAGTTTTCTTGCACTAGTTCTTTTTTCCAAATAGGTTTGCTTTATTTTTGGGATTGCAATTTTTTCACTACAATTTTTGGGAATGTCCCGAATCATTATTCTTTACATATTACATTTTAATACATTAAGAATTTTGAATTTTCTTGTAAGCGCATATAGGCCCAGGCCTATTAGTGACATGTGAGCCAGCCCGGTCCAAACCCTTAGGCCATAGTATACAGACGGGTTAGGTTGTAATTTTATAACAAAAGCCCAGACCGGCCCGACCCATTAATTAAATTAATTATTTTGAATCCAGCCCGACCCACCCCACTCATTGGTTTTGGGTCGATGTGGCCCAGCCCAGCCCGTTACTTAAACGCACTTTTCTATCCAGTAAACCCAAAAACAACCCCTATAGCTAGGTTTTTCCCAGCAGCCGAAAGAAACCAGGGAAGCAGACGTAGAGCTTCAGAGCAGAAGCTGAGAGCTCTACAACAATGTCGGGGAAGCCGAGGGCAACCAGGAAAGATGAAGTTGTGACCAGAGAGTACACCATCAATCTCCACAGACGCTTGCATGGATGGTACTCTCTTTACACTCGATTGTGGTTTTGAATATCCCTCCGCATCTGTTGCATTAACTAAATTACTAGACTTTGATTCGTATCCTTTAATTAGGACTATCTAAAAGGAATCTCTTCAGAAGCCTTTAATTTTCAGTTTTCATATTAGTTTTTTTTCAGTTTTCATAGTTACGTGTAGCTTGAAAATTGTGTCTTGTGTGAATTTGGCTGGCGATCCGTTTTTGTCTCGAATCGCCGGTTTTCTTAAGTGTAGAGTATCAATTTATATTTTTGACTATAATAACTTTCTCAAACACTGATTTGGATATTGGTAGTCTCTATCCTTCTACAGTAAAGAAATTCAAGTGAAGGGCTACTTGCTTATTATTGATATCGAATACATTTATAGAATGCAGCAGTTTACCGTATTTCAGTATCATTATGCTTTGTAATGCCTAAGTCTTCCCTCTTCTGTAAGTTATGTTTTTAGTTTCGTTGAATTGCAAACCCAATTTCTCCATCCACATTGACAATGTTGTATTTGCCAGATTCCATTTGTGTTCATTGTAGTCTTAAACTTTGCTTGCCAGATTTGATGTGCTTTTTATGTGGACTCGGGATATATAGCTTTTGACTTATTTGGATGGAATTGATTTATTGAAATCTGCTGTTCTTTCTGTATTGTAAGCTCATTCAATCATTCCAACTAAGTAACTTGTTCCAAACAGGCCCATAGTGTAGACAAACATAGTATTCCTCCCTCATTTTTTACTATGGGGTCAGCTGTGATTGTTGCAGTTCATCTCATCTCAATGATATGTGATATTATTTGCAGCACCTTCAAGAAAAAGGCACCCAAGGCAATAAAGGAGATAAGAAAGTTTGCTCAAAAAGCAATGGGAACAACAGACGTTAGGGTTGATGTGAAACTAAACAAACAGATTTGGAGCAAAGGGATCCGAAGTGTGCCGAGGAGGGTCCGTGTCCGAATTGCTAGGAAGAGGAATGATGATGAGGATGCAAAGGAAGAACTTTACTCACTGGTTACCGTTGCTGAGGCTCCAGAGGGACTCAAGGGCTTAGGCACTGCTATCATTGAGGATGATGAAGACTAAATCTATCTCTTCACAAAAAATTTATGCTAAGCAATCCCAGTTTTGGCTGTTGTCCTTTCTCAACGAGTTATTCTGAATTTTGCATTTTGATCTTTAGACTTGTTAAATCTTCGTATGTATTAAAGACAAAATTTGGGCTCTTTACAAGTTTATTATTATGCCATCTTAAACTGATATTTTTGTTCGTAAAGTTCAGGGTCGGATTCGGTTTGGGCCACCCGGCCCGTGGCCCGGCCCGGTACTGTGCGGGCCTGGGACCGGCCCGGTCGGGCGGTCCGGGACCGGGTATGGACCCGAACCGGTGGGAATGGGCGGGGCGGGCTCGGTGCTGGATTAATGTGACCCGGCCGGGTCGGGCCCGGGTCCGGTCTTAATTTAAAAAAAAAATTGGGTCTTGGGCTAGTGGGCTACTAGCCGTTTGGGGTGGGGTTGGGGACAACTCAAACGGCTATATAGCCGTTGGGTGGGGTAAAGGGGGGTCCGGGGGGGTTTGGTGGTGGGGGGTGGTGGGGGTGGGGGGTAAAAAAACCTATAAATACTCTTAATCTTAAACATTTTTTCATATCTCTTCTCCAATTCTTCCTAAATCCTATTCTTGACTCTCTACTCTCTAATTCTCTTATTCTCCAATATATTATATTTATTATTTATATATCTACTTTATAGTTTATACTTAAGAAGTTAAGATGGAAAATCATATGTCATTATACGGTATAATTTTGATAAGCAGAAGGACCCGAAGACTGTGATGTGGTATGCAATTTGTCAATGGTGCGAGAAAAAATGTAGCATGGGGGTGTCAGGCGGATACGGGATGACAATCAAGCATATGAAGTCATGTGACAAAGCTAAAGGATCGGGAGGTGCGGAAAGTTCCGATTGATTACAATTTTCAAAATGTTTGTCTCTTAAAGTTTGTTTTAATTTTCAAATGTAGTTCCTATTTCATTTCAAATAAATGCACTTGAAGTTTGTTTTTAATACTCGTATAAAACTATAAACTATAAAATATAAATTATATAAAAAAATTAACCGGCCCGGCCCGAACCGGACCCGACCCGTGACCCGGGCGGGTGGCCCGGCCCGAACCGGACCCATCCAACCCTCGGGCCGGTCCCGGGCCCATGTCATACAAACCGGCAGCCCGACCGGGCCCGACCCGGCCCGAGTCCATCAATAGTAACGTTCTCACTTGGACCTTAACACAAAACACCGAGGACATGTGTACTTAGCTGCTAATAACGCCGTTAGGTTAGTAAAGCATGTGATGTAAACAGTTTCCGCTGTTTAAACATACCTACCTTAAATAAGCATTGTACTTCCTGAAGTGCGGCTTATGAAAAACACCCCTGACCCATGTTTTAGTAAGCCAGTGATTTAAGCGCTTTTCATATGACAATCGTACTTTTTATTACTTGATAAATAAATTAAATACCATCCATATGCTGTATCTCCCTAACCCATCTCTCGATGCTTTTAATACTGAAAGACGACATCCTGTCCTTAGAATGGTTTTATCATGGATTCATGTATGTATCAACCGGTAGTCTGGTATCTCAGGTATGAATTTCTTATGATCTACGAAGTGGTATGGTCTTGGTTATTATTCAATTTAGGAGGAAATGCAAGTATACAGGGAAGAAGTTTTTAGTGTTGACAAATCTATCTCAAAGATTAAAAACTCTTTAGGTTCGACATGATCTCAATTTCCTACCTAATTCTTCATATTTGTAGGTGGAATTACAACTTGCTGGATTGATATTTCTCAACTTTTGAGCATTTGAAATTCGTAGACTCTAGGAGTTTTATATGCTGTGAAGCTGATTGTGTTTGCGTATTTCTTACGATAGTATTTGTTTTATTTGAAATAGTTCTTTCATGGATGAAATAGTCCACAATGAATAGATCTCCTAAAAACTACTCCGTACATAGTACTTGCTCCGTTCTTTAATTCTTGCAACATTGTGATTTTTGCACTATTCACAGACCTTACTAACTTACTGTGACCATGATTTTCTACTAATATACATAATCAAATTATTACGTATAAAATGTTATTGAATTCCTATCAATATGAACTTCCAAAATATCAACCTTTTATAATGTTTACTAATACATAATTAAATATAATTACAATCAAAGTTGTGTGTTGGCAAACGTGAAAGTCAAACTGTTGCAAGAATTAAAGAACGGAGGATAGTAATAACTTATGTGTAATGAGCTTTTCCATTACCTTATTAAGAGTGTTTGGGATTGCTTCTACTTCAAAAAAGTGATTTTGGAGAAAATACTTAATAGTAAAAATTAGTAGTGTTTGCGAAAAAAGTGATTCTGAAGAAGTAAAAGGTGGTAGTGTTTATTAAAATAAGTGTTTTTTGTGTAATAGAAAAAGTGAAAAGCAGTTTCAAACACCCTTCCACCTGCTTTCAACTTTTAGCTTTTAAGTGATTAATTTAAGCAGAAATTAAAAACACTATTTTCTGCTTTTTTTTAATAATATGTGAAAAGCACTTATTTTGAAGCTTTAGCAAACACTCTAAGTTATCTTTGCATTATCACAGAGGCAATTGAACTTTTCCATTACCTCCTTTAGGCAATGAGGGGTAGAGTGGGCACATTTACTTTTCACTTCAGTGCATCTGCATTTTGCACATTTAGTTCCTATACATATGTTTGAATCGGAATAATTTTCCAACTAATATATCTGTAATATATAGAGCAGCAACAATAGAGTTGCACCATAATTGTTTTTTTTTTATATTGTTTGGTTAATAAAATGTTTGGAAAATTAGAAAAAGTCAAACATTTTAATGAAAGAGGAAGATGAAGTTAAATATGCAAGTTCCAAAAGCATAAATTTAATTCTGAAAGTAATTTTCTCAGCAATTTAAAATCTCGTTAGTGGAAGTTTTTTGTTTTCTTTTTACATAATTTTTTACGCTCCCGGGTACATTAGCCAAACATCGAAAAACACTAAAGTGACCGCAAATTCATTGTAGATTGTAGAAATTTTGTGATATAATAATGGTAATATACTAATATATGACCTCATATTTTCACCACATTAAAATTACATATATGTTCTTACTCTGTTGTGTGGATATCGAGATTAGAAAAAAGGTACCCTAAAGAAATGGTAACCGATGATCATAGTGATGGACTAAACCGGGCCGGGCCGACCCGGAACCAGCCCGGCCCGTTACTGTTTGGGCCTGGACCGGACCGGGACCAGTTGGCCGGTTCCGGGCTTTTAGCCCGTTTGGGCGGGTCGGGCGGGCCGGGCTCGGGCCCAACTTTTGGTGAACCGGCCCGGGCGGTTCGAGCCGGGCCCGGTTCAATTTTTTTGTTTTTTCAATTTTTTTGCTTTTCTAGGTTAGGGTTGGGTGTTTGGGGGGGGGGGGGGGGGTCGGGTGTTAATTAGAAACCCAAAAAAAATTGAACTTGACCCGGGCCCGGCCCGGCCCGGTCCGGTTAGGCCCGGACCCGGTATCAACCCGGGCCGGTTCTGGGTCCAACATTTTGCAAAAAAAGCCCGCCCGGGCCCGGCCCAGAACCGGAACCGGACCGGCCCGGGTCCATCCCTTCATGATCATATATTTTTTTTAAATAATTTTATTAAGATATTACCCCGATAGACTTAGTGATGTAAAAGTAAAATTTAGTATTCCAGTAAAGCACCCTCTACGGCTCTACCCTCCCTAAATAGAACTCTTATTTTTCCCGGAACATCTAGATTAAAAAATAAGCATTTCATAGTTTTGTTGGCTATAGTTAAAACGCATGATTTGTACATTCATTAAAATGTCTTTAAGGTTAAACCTAAAGCTGCTTTCAAAATAAAAGATGTCCCTTTTCAATACATTAGATGATTTGTACACAAAACCCCCTAATTGTCTATGTACACATATAATTCGTTTAAAAGGGAGCAGAATTTGACATCAAAAGTCAAAACCTCCTCATTGCCTGTATACAGGGACAATGCACTCGTTTTGTGTACATCAAGAATAACCCATGCAAGAAACCTTATAAATTTGCTTTTAACTGTGGCAGATTACATACCACATAATCTTTAATTTCACTCAATTATGCTTCGAGTCTTTGACTATGTTAACAAATAAGTGAATAACAATGTCATTCTTTACTTAAAATAACAGTGACAGATTTGCCCAAAAGTAAGAAGATAATACATATAATTAAGTACCGATTAAAAATTGTCCTGGTGAGTAGTGCAAAGAATTCTAATGGTCCTTGAGTTTTTTCTTTGGACTTATATATTTGCTTTAACTGAGTTGAAACGAGCGATTAGTAGAAAAAAATCTTAGATATGGAATATGTTAATATGTACAATAGATTGTGGCAAATGACATACCAAACAATCACTAAGTTCAATTCATCTATGCTTTCACCATGTTAACAATGTCATTCTTCTTTAGAATATCAGTTACAAATTTGCCCAAAATAAAGAAGATAATACTATAAATTAAACATTGATTAAAAATTGTCCAGGTGTGTACTGCAAAGAATTCTAATGCCCCTTGAGTTTTTTTGGATGAACGTTCTTCTTTAGTGCTTGCCTCTACCTAGAGGCTCCTGCAGCAGCGCCCTTGTCCTGGTCTCCTTGCTCTTCCAGAGAAAATTCCTCAATCAATTGACGTTGTCTACGTGTCAAGTTCCTACACCATTATAAATATGTCAAAGTAAAGAAAATAGTAATTATAGATATATAGACATCTCATACTTAGGTTACCTATTCCTTTGGACTTTAGGTTTTAAAAAATCAAATCAATAATAGTACATTGGTTCGGTATCATTCAACAATATAGAGGGGACAAATCACATTGTTATGATTCTAGGCTTAAAAAATCACTCAAGGAATGGTAGATTTCTGATTTATGTACAGACATTTCTCAGTATTCTAGTAATGAAATAAAAGAAACACATACGTGGGAATGTTGACAATGAAGTGCACATACTGATCCCCGGCTGAATATGAATTCCTTGCTCTAATCCCTGCACGAACACCGAAAAGGCAATATGAGCTCTAAACACAATAATTGTTTTAGGTCAATGCACCCTAATCTTAGATAAATACTCAAGTATTTTGTAGCTATGAAATACTATGTGCAAATTGCAATGAGGGTTAGATTTTGGCCCATGAATAGAGGTGATTCTTTATATGCACCATAAATG